GTCAGTTTCCTTCTCCGCAAAATGGGGAAGGTGAGATCCATCTCTTCTCTCCCCCCAAGCTCATTGCGCACCTCAGATAGTTGTCTGGGAAAGTGCTTTCAATGGTATAAACCGTGTCAGAAAAATCAGGTTATTACGATTGTGGTTTTTGTTTTAGCTGCAGTTCTGTGTACCCAGCCTGGCGCTAAGGGGAATGGCTTGTCCAGAAGTGGAAGGTGCAGTGTAGATGGGGAGACAGGCTTGATATGTGTCTAAATGAACAGTACTTGGCGCGTTCCTCCGTGAGAGCATCGGCCACAGTGTGTCGTCGTCATTTCTCTTCACATCCGTCTCCTTCACTAGAAGGGCTAGCTGGGGGGACTGAAAAACCCACATGGCACTGTGTAAGCAGTTCATGAGCAGTTCGCATGGATGGCAGTTACCCGTGCCAGCCGGCGTGTTCAGGGAGCTGAGATCTGAGCTGAGTGTTGAGGTTACAATACAGATAAGACACAACCGTCTTGTGGAGCGTGGTCATCGTACCCATTTCCCAGATGAAGAAATTGAGTCAAAGAGGTCAAATAACCGCCCAGGGTCCCGCAGCCTGGGGACAGCAGAATCGGCCTCAATGCCAGGTCCAGCCAGCTCCACACTCTGCACTTTTCACTATGACATAGATGTAAGCGTCGCAGCCTGCTTTGATAGGGTAGAGAGGAGACCAGTTGACTCGAGTAGAGCTGATGGTTAAGTCCAGAGTTCGTGCCTGGGCTGATAATTGGGGGCCAGCTCATAGAGGGCCTCAAATTTACATTAAGGAGTTGGGAAGATATTTAAGGAGAAGATAAACAGTGTAAAACTACTTAGGGTAACTCTTACATAATTATATGGATTAAACTCCATGTTTTTTACAGTTACCTTAAAAATTTTTAATAAGAAAGCTTAATGAATATCAAGATTTACTAACAAATTGAATAAATATCAACATTAACTGACTCCCACGCATGGCCGAACGTGTGTCTATTCACATATGGTGCCCATCAAGCCTACGGCATTTTTCGTGGCCTTTTTCTCACTTATTTTATATGCATGTATTTTTTTTTGACCCGGCCCAAGTCGTTTTCAGTTTGTGCATGATGTGTACTGGTTAAATGCTTTTAAGAATTGACTCGTTTGCTTAGCCTTTGTGGTAGGATTTTGCCATCAAGAAGCATGTTTTCCTGCCAGTTGTTTTTTTATTTTTTTATTTTTTATTGTTTTCTTTTGGGTTAAATTCCTTTGCCTGATCCTCAAAGTAGATCCACTAGATAGAGTATGAACTGTCTCATGTGTATGATTTTGCGTGTCATCCACATTGTTCTGGAATTTTTGATGGCTGTCTAGATAGAATAAGCCCAGTAGACAATGCCACCAGCAATGTGTGAGTGCATCCATTTCTCCATACTCCAGCCAGAAATGTTTTATAAAAAATTATGTGTGGTTTATTTTGTGCTGACTGACCTGGAAATTAGAGGCAGGAAGGCATGTTTGGAGAGACTGCTATAAAAATGAAGGGGTAAGGGGCCTGCGTTTCGGTGATGATGACGATAACGAATTCAAACTCATCATCACACATCGACTAAGCACCTGCTGTGTGCCAGGTACCGTACTAAACATATTGGTGCCTAATTCAGTTCTCTCGATATCTCTGTAAGATAATGTATTATCCATCTGGATTATATAGATGAGGAAACTGAGACTTAGCAAATTAATGTGACATACCCTAGGTCACATGGATATGAACTTCAGAGCTGAGGTTCAAGCGTAGACTTTCCGAAGGGATAGCTGCTGGGAAAATTGCAACAATGACAAAAACTCTGGAGTTAGTAGTGACCAGAAAGAAATGGGTGCCGAGGGAGGCAGCCTACATACCTGTGATTTTGCGTGGCTGCTCACATCCTCTTCTCTTTCAGGGGACCTGGAAAGTTTCAACAAGGTGCGTCCTCCGGGTGAAAAGCCAACCATCATCCGTCCCCCAGTGAGGCCTCCAGACCCTCCCTGCCGGGGCGCTACTGCCCAGAAGGCAGAGCCGAAGTCAGACGTCGCAGCTGGCGGCGCGGGGGAGATCCCATCATCCGTGTAAGTGGGGTTAGCCCTCATCCTTGACCGAAGGCCCATCTTGGGCTTTCGGGTTTCTTACTGCAGGTGTGGCGGGCATGCAGTGCACGACGCTGGCGCGTCACCCACTTCACAGTTGAAGGGAGTGTCACAGACCAGCCTTGTTGGAGTGTTCCACTCAACACTCAAGGCTGAGAGATTTCCCCAGAGCTGGAGACTTTGAACTTCAGTGCCTAATACTAGGAGAGCCATTTTTTCTCGCTGCCCCAATCTCGGTAGGGCAAGAAGATTATCTTCTGTTTTCACGCCCCCTTGGCTCTGGGTATCTTTCTTATTTTCTTGTTATTGCCAGTGGTTTTAAAAGTAATCTAATGAAGAGATCTGTTCATTGTATTTGTGCCGTGAGGTTTTTGTCTTAAAGCAAGGGTACATTTTTTTTTTAAATCTTCCACATGACTCAGATTCTCCAGAGAGCCTCTTGCAAAGCAAGGAACCAGGGCTAGAGCTGCTTCGGTGGCCCAGCTGGCCTGTCCTCAGCAAGTGCCCGGGACCGCTCTCAATATGCTTCTTCCTGGAGTTCTTTGGTCTTACCTCTCTTGTTTTCCATAACTGTAAAATGTGGGAAATTTTTCCAAAGCCTCCACCGTTTTGACTGATCAGCTCCAATTATGCTTTGAAACCTACAATTTGTTACACTTATTCCTCCCAAGAATAGTCTACATGGGCATCATTCGGAACCAAAGGTATCAGCCATAGCCTCAGGGTCTGATACTTGGGTTTCTCCTGAGACCCAGGTCCTCTGCCAGCTAAGGCAGGGCCTGGCCTTGGTGGCCCATCTGCTTTCTATTGTCTTGTCTTTCCATTGGCCGTTGGCGCTCGCGCACTTTCCAGAGCAACTCATGGTACTTGGCTGGCTTCTGTTCACAGGGTGGCTTCCAGAACCAGGTTCTTTGAAACAGCCTCCCGGAAAACAGGAAGGTAAGGGACATGGGCGACAGAAGAGAGACGAAATCATTTTTTAATAAATGCATCCTAATCATCTCATTTGCTCTTTTACATTCTCTTATTTCTCTATGTCTCTCTCTGTTTGTCCCGTTCTTTCCTCTAATTCTGTCTCTCACCCTGTTTCTATACCTCCATGTCTGTCTTCATCACTCTATTTGTCTCTCAGTGTTTTCCTGTCATTCTCAGTCTCTTTCTGTCTCTTTTTCTACTTATGTCTGTTTCTCGATCCGTTCCTCTTTCCTGCCTCTCTCCCCATGTGTCTCTTGATCTATCTCTGTATGTTGCCTCTTTGCCTCCCTGACTCTTGTTTTCCCATCCGTTCTCTGCTTCCTTTGGCTAGAATGTGGGGTGAGGAGAGAAGCTTAGCTGGAGGTGAGGCCGGGGAGATGGATTGGGGCCACATTATAAAGGCTTTATATAACTCACTAAGGAGTTTGGGCTTAGTACTGTAGGCCGTTGGGAGTCATGGAAGACATTTAAGCATGACAGTGCATATTCTGAGCTGACTAAGCTGTAAAAATCATTACCTTGGTGATAGGGAAGATGGGAAAGTAAACGTTACAGGTCCACAGTCCGTGTGCTTTCGAAGGCCAAAACTCAAAACAGCTCGTAAGATGGAATCAGATGTGTCTGCCTATCGTGCCCCGCCCCCAACACACATGGCTCTTGCGATCTCGCATACCCGCCCCTTCCGTGATGGTCCCTGAGTCTTAGAAGGGGCATCCCGGGCATCCAGGCTTACAGACAGAGACCACAGCAATGGTAGACGCAGCAGCAGGCTGCAATGCCTGTACCCTCATACGAGACAAAGAACAAAGAGTAACTTTCGTTATGTCCCCTGAGCCCCAAACCGTGCCGAGCTGGCCACTGTGCAAACACCTCCTTGTTCAGCTAACAAGGGATCTATGGCAATCCTGGTGTCTAAGTACCCCAGGCTAATGACTCCAAGGGAGTCTGGCTGAGTCTTAGGGCTTGAGCGCTGGAATGGGCCAGATGGCTGGCTATACAGGTTGAATTCCATAATGTCGGGATTTGGCAAGATTTATGAAAACAAAAGAAAAAGGTTAGTGATCAGAGCAAAGCATAAAGCATTCTCTGACTCTGTGGGGCTGACTGTTGAGAACATCTCCAGGCGGGTGGCTCGGGGCGTCACTTTTGCTGGAATGAAGGCAGGCAGTGACGACTCACGGATTCTCCCAGTCTGCAGTCTCACTGTGTCTGATGATGTCATCGGGCGCTCAGTCAGACTCCGCGTGGCTTACACAGAACCCGTCGCCAAGACTGTGCAAGCATAAGCTGTTGGGATGATGTCTCCCAGGTTTACATGATGTCGTCTAGCTGCAGTCTGCAATTGCAAGGCTCAGAAAAACAAACAAACAAACAGTTTTAGTTCTCAGTAATTCCAAGGCAAAAGAAGGACAGGAGGAAAATGAAACACCAGTTCAGAGGGTTGCAGCCAAACACTTTCACTAGAAAAATTCAGGATTCGGTCCAGTCCACAGGTGAAACATAAAACTTTAAAAAAAAGACAGTCGACTGAACTAGAATCTAATATCCTTAACTGCATGCTATAGTTGCTATTGAAATATTTTTTTCTCCCTTAAAATTACCCTCGTTTTTATCAGAGACAGCCAAATTAAGACTAATTTACTACATGACTAGTTTCAATAAATTTGGCCGATTAGTTATATAAAAACAGTAAGAATAACAAGCGATCATACAGGCTCTTTTAAATCTGCTTTCCTGGAATTTCATAGGGAATCTCCAGCCCGAGTCTTAATGAGCCTCTCAGGGCTAAGAAGCCAAGTCACCTCCTTGCCATCACACTATGCATTTGGGTGAATCTCGGGTCCAGAGATTCCTCCGAAATGTGTTGAGGTTCTTCCTCTGCATCTCCCAGGAAGCAGCTTCATTTTTCACCTGCAAAGACTGCTGTGAGCCATGTAAGCAAGGTACCAGGCCGTTTTTGCAAGAGGCTTTTATTGGCCTCCAAAGTCCATCTTAATTACTTAGAGCAGGGGTCCCCAAACCCCGGGCTGTGGACTGGTACCATTCCATGGCCCATTAGGAACCGGGCCGCACAGCAAGAGGTGAGTGGCAGGTGGGCGAGCGCAGCTTCACCTGTATCTGCAGCCGCTCCCCAGCGCCAGCATCACCGCCTCAGCTCCACCCCAGATAATCGGGCATTAGATTCTCATAGGAGCATCCATCTCTGGGGCCAAAAAGGTTGGGGACCGCTGCCTTAGAGCTTTCTGGTCACATTTGAGTCTATAGATCTCTCTCAAACATGACATTCCAGTCAAAGCCCCGGTAATAACCCCACTTTCCAATTGTGTCCTGTTATAAAGAGAGCAAATTCCTATTGAATTTATGCAAATAACCATAATTACCATGGAAATAATAGTACTCACTCAGAGTCTCTAAATTTTGGAGGGATCAGGTAGGAAGAAAACTGTAAATGTTTCAATACTGCTTACTTACAAAGGCATAATTTACCAAATTGCTCTAAGTCATAGGTAGTTTAGGAGAAAAAAGTTTCCTTAAATCGGGTAAACAACAAGATTAGAAAATTGGCAATATTTCAAACAAACAAAAAAAAGACAATCCTTAGTTCATTCAATCCTATAAAACCAATTCCTGTTTGCACCGATCACTTACCTTAGAGTTCTATAAATCTTCATCTGGTTTAAAGGTGGGATCTGAAAATGTATCCTCAGAAACCTGTATTTTCAAATAGTGCAGTCGACAGAGGGGTTTGCTTTCCTCTGTAACATAACATTATAAGATACAAAATGAAAACATTGCATCAGGACATTGTAGACCCTTGGAGATTGTAAACTCTAGAACATTCATTTAGTAATTAGAAAATATGCATAGAAATACAACATAATTAGTTCTTTATTTGACAAAGATTCCCATGTAATTTTAGTATATCAAATAGGCTTAGTTAGTTTGCATTTTCTCTTTTATAAAGAGAGAATGAATCTTCGAGGCATTCCAGGGGCCCCCTGGAATAACCCAAAGCCATGCCCAGGCTAAAAAAAAAAGTCTCCTTTTAAACCCTGAACCCTGGGAAGTTGGTCAAAATATGTCAGAAAGTTTGGATTTGACTAAATAGGATCATAAGTCATTACGAAGCAATACTTAATTATCCATTTCACTAAAGTGACAGTCAAAGACAGATACAGAAGTTTATATAATTGTCGGCCAAACTTAGTTCTTACTATTGAGGAGATTCGATTTCTTAAGTAATAGACCTGTTTAAGACAACATAAAGCACAGAAACTCATTTTGATAAAACACGGAAGCTTCACTTTCTAGGCAGAAAACTTTTTCACATGTCAGTAGCAGACTGGTCATCCTTTTCAGCAGAGGGAGAAAACCAAACTAATTTTGTATCGGCTTACTTTTAATATTTAAAGTCACTTACTTGATGAAATTTATTTCAATCTTATTCGACTTGACCTCACATAAAATTTCTTTTCTCAGGATTCCTTTTCCGTAAACCTTCTACAACTTTCCTTTTTACGTAAAGATCTTTGACCTTCTCCTCCCCACTTTTCCATTCTAAAACAACCAGCCTCACGATAGAACAAAATTTCTTTCCTTTCTTTCAAAAAAAAAATTCTCCATGCCTTATACTTTCTTTACTGAAAAAATGTTTTCTTTTATCTTAATTAGAATTTTAACCTTTAGAAACCTTAATTTCTAATGACAGCTAAAAAATAAACAACTAGCATTCTGTACATTGGCAAATATATGAATATATTTCATAACCTCTGGAAATGTAGGCTTTTGTTGGCAACTTACCAGTTTTTCAGAAATGTGTTTGTTTTAGTAAAATACAAGACGTTTATTAATAGATCTAGATTTATCTTTCAGGTTCTGTGTACTAAGAAGCCAAAAGTAGGAAAAATTAGATTTACCTAGCGATGAAGGTTTCAGGTTTTCATGTTATTTGGAAATACCTAGATGTTCAAACATTTTTATCATTTAATTTAGTAAAAGTTTCAAGTTACCAAAGAGATTTAGAAAACCATTTGAGTATGCGTACAATATAATTATCGCTAAAAGGTAACCTAAAAGAAACTTTTTTTTTTTGGAGTCAAAAGGAAAGTTTATTAGAAAAGGGGTAACGCTCCACAGACAGAATGTGGGTCCGCTCAGAGACAGTGCAAGGGACAGTGAGAGAGACAGAGTTAAGGCACTGAGAGGGACCAGACGCTTTTTATCCCGTTTATATTTCTTTAATTTACTTGCTCCTAACAATTCAGTTTAGATCATTTACGAAAATATTATCGTATCAAGTTATTTTTCTTGCTGACAAATTTTGCGGCAGAGGTAACGTGAACTTATTTAACTAATAAACCCAGGTAGAATAAAAGCATGATTTAATGCTAATGATTCTAAACATATGCCTGTTTTACCAAACCCAATTCAAAATCAGCTTTAATGTCAAACATTTTCCCAGATCATGTGATTCTGAAAAGCATTCGAGTTAGTTTGTTATATTTTTGATAATTCTCCTGTAAGTGTCGGGGTAGTCTGTCACAGGCACTACCTCCTGGCTGATCCTCACCAGGCCGTTACCCGTCCAGAACTCAGAACATCAGAGTTTGGAGTAAAGAAAAGGTTTATTGATCGAGAAAGTGCCACCGGAGAAGATGGGAGACCTAATCCTGAAATCCTTCTTAGAAAGGACAGAGTTCAGGCTTCTTTTAGGGCAAGGGAAGGGAGCATGGCAGGGGCTGTGTTTGTAGAAACTCAAGCCCCGAGCAGAATCCCTCAACGAACGTGTCTAAAGTGGGAGTTATTGGCTCGAACACGATGGCGACCCCAGTGGGAGCATTTGACTCTCTTACCAAAGACTGGAGGCAGGGAGGGTAACTAGGACACTGGTCCTCCTGGCGAGACGCGATGAGGTCCTGAGGCCTTGACCTATGGTATGGCCACTAGGAAGGAAATGGGAGGCGAGGTGTGACCTTGCTGACGTTTCGAACATGGAACACTGGAGAAAGATTAAGAGAGGAAAATCTAACTTGGGTAATTAAGTAGATGGTAACAATAATTAATCATGAAGGAACAGGTTTTGTGGAAAAGTCGCTCTGCTCAATTTTGGACACGGTGTTTTTGAAATGTTTTTGCAACAGAGATGTCCAGTAGGTTACTGCAACTTAGACTAGTAGTCGGGGCTGGACCTACGTAGCTTTAGGGGTAAAACTGTTGAGTACAGCCGCTGTGCTTCTTGGGGCATTCGCATATACCAAAATATGAGTAGGAGCTCTTCGTAGGGGTTCTCAGTATCTGGTGGTCACCAAAACCATGGATGGAAATATGATCATTCAGGGAGAAGCTATTAAATAGACTTAAGAGAGAAGATCAAATCGATGCTGAGGATGTGGCCCTGGGACCAGCTGTATTCTAGGATGTTCTGGCCACACTATATGATGTGTGACTCTTCAAGATTGTCTTTCCTCCAGCCATCCCCAGTCAAGGCTCATTTAGGACTGATCTAAGCACATCGAGAGGCCAGGCCAGGCTGGCTTGGTCTTCAAGGCAATGGAGGATTCGTAGTCCAGCTGGCATTTGCCCTCTCTCTTTGTCCTTCTCCCTCTTGGGGATAATCACAGAATGTAGTATTTGGTCTTGAGTCCATTTCTCTGGGCTCCCCTAGCCTCCCCTTGTCTGACACCCAGTCTCGCACTTAAAAGATAACTTCGTGTCTGGGAGACTGGGCTCTCTTAATCTGCCACAGACGTAGCCCAACCTATAAGCATGGAGCTAGATGCTTCGAAATATCTGGATGGAATCACTTCTCCATTTTTTAAATGACCACTTTGGCATTGGCCTGGAAGGGCCGCCCATAGCCTTGCTTTTTTTGCCTTTCCAGTTCTGATTTCGAGAGTCTTAGTGAAATGTTTTTCCTCCTTTACCCACAGTTCTCAAGGCAGACTTCCTGGAGATGAATGTTGAGGCCTCAGGTATGTAGTCTCCCACCCGATTACAGAACCTTGTTACGCATGAGCCTTCTCGATGGGCTCCGAGCTTTTGAAAACTGGGCTGCCGTGTAGGAGCAGAGGGTGGAAACTCACCTCCACGCCTGCGATTACGTGGCCCTTACACGGACTGCCGTCCAGTTCCGAGCTTCTCTGTGCTTTCGAGCCTCTTTCTCCTTCCCTTTCTGCCCCTGCCAGACTGCGGTGTAGTTTTACGAATTGCCTCTGAATCGAGTTTACTAATTAGGATTCCTGGGCTGTGACAAGTACGTTTCCTTCTCTGAGCCTCGGTTTCCCAATCTGTGAAATGACAAGGTCGGGACCTTCTAACTCTGCCATCCTTTGTTCTAGAAGATGAGTAACCTCTCTTTTGGTATTCATAGCAGGTGCCGAGAGTCCACCTTAGTATCTGTAGAAGGACTTCATTCCTTCAGGGCAAATCACTCTTTCGGTCTTGCCCCCTGACCCTTCATCCTTGGTCCTTTGTATTTGTCTGATGTAAAGCGATTTCACACCCGTTAGCTCATTTGATCCAGATCGAATGCCAGAAATACGGAGGCTATTATATGTTTTAACCGAACGAATAAAGCAGCTGAGGTTCAGAGGGCATCGGTGACTTGCCAAGGTCACGGGAGCCACGGAGCCCTTGGAAGCGTTTTCTCTCTCTTGGTGTTCGGATTGTGTGACCGTCGCGTCGCTGGCTGGCATGCAGCAGTATACACAGAAGTGAGATCCAGCTTTCCACGTGCTCCGCCGGCTCCCTTTCTTTACTCGTCACTGCCAGTCCTCAGAGGCCCATGCTAGATGAGCTTTCTCCTCATCAGTCCTCATGGAGGTGAAGTCCCAGTAAAAGGAAGCTCGGAATTCTCATAGTACCAAAAAGGCAGAGGCCATGTTGCAGAGGTGGGGGTCATCTCAGAGGTATCAGGCTTCCGCATCCCTCGTGGACTTTTGGGGGAGTGGAGTTGAGGCCAAGGGCCCACGTTTCTATTCCTGATGATAGCACCATCATAGACCCGTTACATGAGATCAGAGTTAGAACGGCCGTTGGCTGCACAGCTCCTTGTCCATCGGAAGGTCAGCCACTGAGCGTGTGGCTAGGTCGGTACCGGGAGCGGCCCGCTGCTCGGTGCCATTGCGTGCTTGCTCGGTCCTCGTTCATTCCCCACTCTCTTCCTTCCCTTCCAGGTTTTTTAAAGCCTTGGCCTCGGGAGACCCTTTCGAGGCTCCGGAGGGGTCTTCTTCCAACCCTTGTGTGCCGAGTCATTTTTGCCGAAGAGCAGCTATTTCCTGGTCCTGCACCTCCTGGCTCTGGGTTCTAGAACAGGTTTATGTCTCCTCTGCATTCTATCTTCATTCCTTCGGAAGTTCTTTCCTGAGTCCCCGTTAGACTGTGAATGGCCGATCTTCCTCAAGCCAGACTGCGGAAATCCAGCTGTCCATCGACCTGGGACGAAGAGCCAGGCCCCGTGTTCATGTCTCCTCTGAATGTCCTGCCTCCTCGAAAGGACATCGAACTCCAGAAGACCGGAGGCCGTGCTAAAAGCTGCTTGAGCTGGGGCCATCGCTTGCTTCGGAAGTGGGGGAGTAGGAATGTTTGCAAGCGTTGGAGAATGCTAACATGTCTCTTGCTGAGGATATGGACCTGGGTGCCAGGGTGGAGGCCTGGTGCTGCCGTGTGTCACCAAGAACCTGTCGGCTTTTGGGGGGCCAGACAGCACGGGTGATGTCCCGTCAGCCCCTCTGTGTGGACTCAGGAAGGCGGACTTCCTGCTCTTGCGTACAGCTGCTTAGGACAAATCTGCAAGCATGTTTTTTTTTTTTTTGCATGTCAAATCTTAGTTCTGTTTGAATTGTTCTTCCGCCTGTTTTCTCTTGACAGCTTCCTTTCCAAACAATCAAGAAAGACATAAAAGCTGAAAGTGATTCTTTTTAAAAGGGGGACTCTCTCTCTCCTGCAGGGGTTCTATTTCGGGGTCTAATGCTGGAAAGTAAAAGTTAAGATGGTTTGGGGTTAGGCAGCTGTCACTGTCGCTTAATGTTTGCCTTCTGCAGATAAGCTCTTTAATCTCCTGAAACAATCCCTAACGCACCGCCCATGGATTCGGGAGAGTTCACGAAGCCTCTGAAATGGTATGCAGATTCTACGACGATGTGCCTTTTCTGGGGAGGTGTTCATGATATTCTACTGAATTTCAAATGGGCCTGTGACCCAATAAAGGTTAAGAACCACAGCTCTGAGAGAAACGACTCTTTTTATAACCCGTAAACTAGTTGACTGGACGGGCTTCTCAAAATAATTTGGTCTAACTGCTTAGTTTACCATTGGGGAAACCGAGGCAAAACAAGTTAGCCGCCGTGTCTAAACAAGATCCCAGGTCCTTGGGCTCCTACTCAAGGTTTTTTTTCCATCACACGACACTTATGTCGCTAGGGACAGTATGATGAGTGGCTCTAGGGGTCATCATTTTGCAGGTTTGGATCTTACCCCACGTATTTGCCACCAAACGGAAAGCTTGCAGACACACGCTCCCAGTCTGCCTCATTTGCCACCTCAATCCCTGCAAAGGAACACAAACACAGTCGGTGTAGTGAGAAATCCGAGGAGCAGACGTTTCTGATTCCTGTTCGTTGAAGGAAGCTGCTAGAGAAGGTGGCGTTCCTTGCGTCCCCAGGAAGAGTCCCGGGCCGTAGTCTGTCTGTGTAGGTAGAATTTGGCCCAGTGTGAAAGAGGCCCTGCTCATACCCTCACTACAGTACTGAGAGAGGAGTGTAGGTGTGGGGGTGGGGACGCATGGGAGATGGAGGAAGGCGAATCGAGAGAGAGAGATGAATGAATGAATGAATGAATGAGAATGCACACACATGCCCGAACCAACTCTGAGATGCCTTCGGAACAGTGTTACTAAGAGACAATACTTGCTTGCAAGACCGAAGTCTAAACGTGGTTTCTGAGTGAGTCATAACGTGCTAGGTAAACACACTGACAGCTTGTTTGGAAGTCATCGAGAGGAAACTTGCAGTCATTCCCAATGAAGACACGCCTAGGTTGCCACCGATCGGCCAGCCGCTCACCCCCACAGGGAATCCCTGCGAGGCCTGCTGGGCTTGTTGAACCCTGGTCTCACAGCTGTGGCCTCTCTGGTCCATCCCATTAGGTGACTGAAGCAAGCAGGTGTGCAGTGGTAACATTTACCGAGCACCTATTAAGTACCAGGTGCTTCGTGTCCATTATCTCATTTAGTCCTTAAGCGATCATGCAGGTGGATTCCATTCTCTTCATTTTGCAGATGAAGGATTGATGGGGGGCGGAGCTAAAGCAATTCGCTCAAGGTCACGCAGAAAATAAATAACAACTGTGACTTGAATCCAGGCCTCTCTCACTCTGTCCCCCAGGCCATTTTCCCTTGGCCATACACAGGCCACGTTACTGGAGCTGGCATGACTCTGACTCATGCCTGCCTAAGAAAATATGGGGGCGCAAGTCCAGTTTACGGGGGAACCAAAACTGGGCTGGACGAAGTTTCCAAGTCATGCTTCCTCCTCGCCTTCAATGTACCCTGTTGGTAGTATTTTTAAAAAGATCACTTATTTTACCTTGTGAGGTGAAAGATTTCTTTTTCAGTCGGTAGTGCTTAAGTCCTTGGCTTAACTGTTTTTCAAAGAAAATAAAAGGTCCTGGTATGTATGTGTCCAAGTTTATAACACGTGCGGTTTCAGCCTAAAAGACAGGCGTCATCCATACACACAGTTCAAGAAACCAAAGAGGTCTCAGCACCTCTGCGGGACTTGATGCCTTGGGGTCAAATCCCTATAAGATATTTCTGTAGAAATAGCAAAAGTGAAGAGGTAATTCAGAATAAGAAATATCGAAGTTTTTGTTTATAAAGAGGCGTGTGTGTCTGGGAGGGGGCATTGTCCAACCACTGAGGGGCGAAGTTCAAGATCCTCAAGTAATTGGCTGTCGTGGGGAGGTTTCCTCCCCTTTTCAAGTAATTTCTTGATTCTGTAATAACTAGAAAAAATGAAGTAGTAGAGGAAGAGGTATTTCTGTGACTAGAAAAAAAAATCACCTTTGAGAGAATGTAGATCAATGATACTATTTTTAATGTAGCTGCAGACAAACGGCCTTGACACTTTACAAGCCCAGAAAAAGTTTCAGAAGCATTTAAAAATCGCAAGGGAAGTCTATGGCCATGCCACCCTGAACAAGCCCCATCCCGTCTGATCTCAAAAGCTAAGCAGGGTCGGGCCTGATTAGTACTTGGATGGGAGACCGCCTAGGAAGACCAGGTGCTATAGGCGTAAAAATTAAAAAATAAGGGATTGTAAGCTGACAAGTTCCTTGCAATCTGTGAGGTCAACCAAGGGTTGCCTCGCCCCCCTGACCCCAAAAAGAAATCGCAGTGAGAAAGAAGCAAGATCCCTTGAGATGTTTTTGATGAAGAAAAGCCTTCACTTTCACAAGAAAAGAGGCGCTTGGTACCAAGGACATTCATAGATGTTAGAAAGACTGCCCATGTGAAACACTTCTGTGAAATCAGAGAAAAGAGTGAGATCCCGGGCCCATGCGTGTGACTTTCAATAAGGTATGCAGACTGTCTAGTATCAATGGCCTCCATGTGCAGTTTTGTCATGGAGACGATCTGAGCACATGAGGCATGGCGGTGCAGCTAGCATGCACCGCTCGTGATATCATTTTCAATTCTAAGGAAAGCTAGGTACAGAAGCCTTTTGTATCTGCGGATCCCAATCTATGGTCTGCTTTGCAGCAAGCCCTCGTCACTTCCTCAGGCCTCTCAACATCACTGCATGATAGGTGATGCCCCATTGTACAGATAAGGAAACTTGAGACTCGGGGAGATGAGAAATGATTTGCCCAAGATAACACAGCTAGGGGTAGATAACAATTCAGAAGTGTACTCTACAGAGGCCTCCCTGTGTGCCGTACACCACACTGCCTCGAGCAGTGACAGAATCCTGACAGTAAATGGAAAAGATGCTTAGAAATGAGACCGATGGAAACGATACGCACGAGTCTTGCTACTCCTAATATGCTCCATCATCAGCCTCGGCATCAGCATTACCCAGGAGCTTGTTAGAAGTGCAGACTCTTGGTCCCATCCCAAGACGCCTGGAATCGGAATCTATTTTAATAAGATCTCTGGGAGATTTTCTGCACGTTAAAGTTGGAGACGCACTGATATAAGGCATTTGAGACGACAAAGCAGGTTGAGGAAGGAGCTCTCAGGAGACGGAAGACCAAAAATGGTGGGTAAGGCCGGTGTGTTAGGTCGAGGGTGTTTACAAAGGGTGTGTCCATAGCCGCCACCATCTTCCACTGCTTTGGCCATGATCTTGTGCTTTGAGGACATAGAGATGAAATTTCTCCACTTCAAAGAACAGTGCAACCAGCCTAGGGAATAAGAAGACTGAAAGTTAATTGACTTTCAAATCTCTGAGCATGAAAGGCAGTGACAAGGAAGCGAGGGGCAGTGGAAAGAGCTTCTGGGAGCTTGGTGCGCAGGTTCACCTGTCACTGTCTCTTTGTGATGCTAAGCGAGTTCTTCCGCCTCCTCCAGGCCTCAAATCACCTGTCTGGAAACCAGGTCATCTCAAAGAGCCTTTTCAGCTTTGATATTTTGTTATTCTCAGCTGTGCGTTTTACTACCACCTCCATTGGAAGGAGAACATGGACATCTGTACTGGTTTTTGTCTGTCCATCGTTTAGCATCTTCGGTTCACGTAAGAAGGGTTCTTCTGGGAGGAGATGTCAATCATCACACCACATTAATGGGAACTGTAAGGAAGTGGGATGGGCCTAACTCCAGTGAAGCTGCTTGAAACTAGTCAGTATTTTAATTAGAGTAGAATGAGTATCCAGACTGCTTTGAGAACCAGGTGCTTCAAACCACATACTCAGGAATCAACTGTCCTGACTTGGGCTTTTGAGGGATAGTTTATTGGGGGTAGAAGGAGCTTATAAACACGAGAAAAGTCCTGCTCATCCCCCATCTGCTACTCGTCTCTCTAGGTGATTCTGATGTCCATTAGCTAAGACAACTGCTTATCATCAAACCCTTTAAAATGGAGAAACAGACTCAGAAGTGACATGTCTAAGGCCACACACCAGAGCCAATGGCAGCAAAGAGATGCTCAGAGTACCACCCTAAGGACCTTTCGAGTCTACTTTCTTTGGGTGACTAGTTTACCAGAATCGAGACATCTGTTTCCAGTAGCAGAGCACACACTGGGGAGGACTTACCGGGCCTTTCGTCTGGCTGCTACTCTGTTTCCATCACACGTACACTCACGTTGCTTCAGAGAAGCGACATAACTTGCCCAAGGTCACACGAGTAGGAAATAGATTTGGACCTTGGATTTCCGATCTCACCTGTGTTGTAGGGCCTCTAAACTCTTAGTTGCTTTAATCTGATTACTTCGAAACGCATTGATATTTTTTTCTCTGTCGGCATTTATCCTAACAGTTTATGACTTGAGACTCTGCGGAGCACTCTTAGGTCCATTGTTTTGTCCCCATAACAGCCCCCTAAGGTAGGTAAGACCCGGTATTTTGCCCCCATTTGACAGACGTCCACAGTGAGGCCCAGCAAGAAATCACATTATTTTCACTGAAGTGAATAAGACATCACAAAATACTTTAGGAAATGGGTCTAAACATCATTTTCATGAATTTGAAGAGCTCTGGGAAAGAAGCACTGGCAGCCAGATTGCCAGACTGGTCCCACTGTGACAAAGGGGAAAAGCGACTCAGCCCTGACCGCAAGCGGACAGGTTATAAGAATCAGATCTGGAGCATTGGCGTGATGTGTGCTTCTAGAATTCGGGGCCTTGGGAATTGAAACAAGACCCACGATGGAGCTGGGGGGCCTCTGGGAGCAAGGGAAGGGACAAACATTGCTGAGCATCTCTAGTGTGCCTAGCAGGGAGTGGGAGGAGCCTGAATCCTCGAGCCATCCCTGGAGATCTGGCATAAGAGTTAGGGTGGTATTTGGGTAAAAAAAAAGAAAAAAAGAAAAAAGAAAAAAGTAGGACCACCTGGCAGGCACATTACATGTATTTTATATACGTTGTGTCATTCGAGCGTCTCAACCACCTCATTTTAGTCCCATTTTACAGATACAGAGACTGAGATCCAGATGATTGATTGTTATTTGTGCAAAGTCGCGTAGAAAGTAAGTGGTGAAGCTTAGATAGAAGCGAGGCCTCTGGG